GCGCTACTCATAAACACCACTCGACCAGGGCTTGCTATGACATGCAGAAGGGAATCATAATTTTAAAAGATTTAAAAAATCAAATGAATACGAGGCGAACAAGGTTTAGATAAGCATCTAAATCTCAAGAGGATGGGGAATGGGAAAGTTTTATGAGCAGATGAGAAGACTGTCTTACACCCAGTTATAAAGTCTATCACGCCTCAGTTTAACTCAGGTGCATGAGTTGGTGTTCCCACCACAGCCACTTAACAGAATGAGAACATCCTGAATAGGAATGGTTTATTGCTTCTGAGCGTAGCATCTAAACTGATGAGACAGCCCCAGGGAATGAATTTAGGATTGTTCATCTGATTCTCAACAAACCAATGAAACAAACTAGCATGAAGTCAGTACAAAACTCAAGCTGATTTTTCTCCAGAGTTAAAAGGACTAATATTCTTCTGATTATAGAAGTAATCCAGGAACAGGAATGGGAGTAGTGATACCAGGAGGGTAGGGGGAAGGTGGGAAGAGGAGGAAGAGGGAACCGATCGTAATGACTGACATATAACCCCCACCCCCACCCCATGGGGGATGAAACATAGAAACCATGGGGGAATGGAGATAGTGGTCGGTGTAAGATGTGAAAATAAAATAAAAATTTATAATTTATTATCGCGAAGGTGGGGGAAGGAGGGAAAAAAGAGAAGCTGACACCAAGGGCTCAAATAGAAAGTAAATGTTTAGAAAAGAATGATGGGAACATATGTACAAATATGCTTGATACAACTGATGTATGGATTGTTATAAAAGGTGTAAGAGCCCCCAATAAAATATTTTTAAAAAAATCAATTTATTGGGGCTCATACAATTCATCACAATACATAGATCAATTGTGTAAAGCACATCTATACATTTGTTGCCCTCATTATTCCCAAAATTCGCTTTCCTCTTGGTTTCCGGAATCAGCTCATTTTCCTTTTTTCCCCACCCCAATAAAATGATATTTTAATTAAAAAAAAAAAGAAGTAATAAATGCTCATTATAATTTAAAAAGTCAAATTTAAGGAAGAAAAGGGAGAGTGCCAGAAACAGCCATTGCTTACAGGTTGAAGACTAGGCTGTATTCTTGCAGATAGTTTCCTGTGTGTAGATACACAGATTTTTTTACCTAGACTCAGTCTACCTTGTTTTACAACCATATTTTTTCTTTTAAAGCATGTTGTAAATACTTATCATCCACCTCAATGTCATAGTAATCTATAATACAGCTGTTTCCTAATTAGTTTAACCCTTAGTATATTGCCAGGGTACACACCATTGTTGTTTGCTATGGCTGCTAAGTTTGTTCCAACTCAGTGATCATCTGACCCAGAAGGAAACACTGCCCAGTCCTGTTCTGTTCTCACAATCACTGCTAGACTTGCGTCCATCATTGCAGCCACTGCGTCAATCCAACACGTTAAATTCCTTCTTTTTCATTGACCTTTTCCATGCTGTACTTCTCCAGGGATGGGTCCTCCTGATAACATGCCCCAAATGAATGCGGCAAAGTCTCACCAAGCTTACGTCTCAAGAGCATTGTACTTCTCAACTTTTACTCTTAGTTTCCCGGTAGTGTAGTACTAATTGGAGGTTAAGAACTAATATTTCACGACTTTCATTCTTTTTTAGAGACTGTATTAGATTTCTAGGGATGTCCGGACAAATTAGTACAGACTGGGCGCTTTAAAACAACAGAACTAGCCTGGTTCACAGTTGGGGGGTCGTAAGTCCAGAGCCCAGGTATCAGTGGGGCCATGCTCCATGGAAGAACCCTCCCTTTCCTCATCTTAGTCTGGTGGATCCCGGAAAACTTGCATTCCTTGCCATGTGGTGGTCCCATTCCAATCGTGGCCTGTCTTAACGTGTGAGTCTCCTCTATGTCCCAAATCCCCCTCTCCTTTCTGTCAATAGATTTAATGTCCACCCTAGTACAATAGGATTTCGTCTTAATTTGATTTAACTTTTCAAAGATTCTATTTTAAAGTAAAGTAACATCACAGTTAATGTGGTTTAAGACTTGGCAATATTGTTTATGGACAAACAAGTTAACGTTACCATAGAGGTATTTATTTCTTTATGTTTAGCAATGATCATTTATTACACAGTCTGCAGCACATTTCTCTCTACATCAGTTCCAGGCAACATTGACATCTTTTCTTCTTCACCACTCATGATCACTTAGTCTTGATCTGGGCACTTTATTTTCTATGATCAGGTGTTTTCTTATTAGTTCACGTCTCAATATTTTGAGCACCCAATGAATCCAGTTACGCTCATAAACTGCAGATTGTCAGATCCATTAGCCATCAGGTGGTTCTCGTACTGAGGTAGCCCAGTGCTTTCAACCACTGTCCCACTGTCTGGACAGGGCATCTGGGTCACTCATCAGTGTGCAGCTCCATACTGCTCCCCCCTTGCTCGCTCCCCTTCATTACCCAGCCCAGGCTACACACCCCCTTTTTTTAAGTACAGTAAAACTCATCTAATCTTTTCATGAATCTCAGATACATGTGTGATTTTAGTGATCCTATCTTTCCTATACCTTGCTATTATCACACCCATCCTCGGAGTTATCTTATCATTACTCATCACTTAGTCTAACAAAGGGTGAAATATAAAAGGTAGGATATGAAGAACAGGGAGAATGACGGATGCCACACACGGGAAGACACAGCAGTGAGATAAATCACCATCCGTGTTTTTTCAATTGTAGGGTGTAAAGTATCATGTCATCTTTCAAAATTATACGAATGGAACCTGGAGACATCAGCTTTATTAGTACTTTTTGAACTCTTTATAGAACATAATGGAGAGGTCAGCAGTTCAAAACCAC